AATAAGGCACCGAATCCTAATTTAGGATAACCCGGAATAACCCTCAGCCAGGTTATATTAGGATGGCCGAGGGCTCGGACGGCTCCAATAGTGACTCCGTCACTAGGACGCGGGGCGTATAATTGACCAATCATGATCCGAAGTGAGCTTTCAAAGAAAGCTCTTGTACCAGTTGGCCTTGAAAGCTCGGTGGTCTGCGAAGCTGCGATTCGCTTCACCACAATATCATCACCTCTGCGACCACACTAGATCAAAGTATGGTGAGAACTGGCCAATCCGTCGCTTCAATTGATTCACTTCGTCTATTTTCCTAGTTTTGGCGAATCATATCGATCTCATTTTGGCTTTTTTACCCAATCAAAACGTGTATAGTGACTGCAGTCGGACCTGAGCGATTCCGACGTATCTCACAACTAGTAACATCGTAACCGGTCCGTCCCTCCGTCATTTCGTCCCACCCCTCCCCAACTGACTCAACCTCTTTGTTCGCATCTTTTAGTGAATCCAGTTGCTTACATTTCTCACCCATCAAATCGACTCAATCAGGTCGCGACACTTCGTCGCCTCCTCCTGCTTTGTCTGACCTCGCTGGTACCGCGCGTGACCGTCCGATCGAGCTGGACGCCGATGACGCGGATGACAATACCGTTGGTACCGAGCAAGTCAGGACCCACTCGTGGTAACGGTGTTCGTGATCCTGTTGCCGTCGATGCGAGTAGTGCCCCCAAGTTGGTACCTCGCACCGAGCTATTGTCTCCTGCCGCCTACGCCCAGTTGCCTCCGACCTGTGTTGACCGCGCGCACTGGGTTCCAGGCTATCGCGTTCGCGTCATCTTCTCTGTGGCTGACGCAGCTCCCTGGCCACTGTTGGACGTCTCGCAAATCAGCGTCCTTGAACTTGACGTTGCGATGTTGTTCAGCCGTTTCTGTAAGCCTCCTAACTGGCTATTTCCGAAGCGAGAGCCAGTGCCTGACGACTCCGATTGCCTCTTGGACGAGGGCAACGTTTCGTCAGTTTACGCCTCCACGCCATGGGGAGTTCTTGCAAAGCCAGTGACGTCCATCTCCTTCGAGAGGGACAGTCCTCCTTTCCAGACTTTGACGCGGAAATTAGAAGGTTGCAGACGAAGCATCGTCAGGCGGCGTGGAAGTCCACCCATTCCTTTCCCATCTCAGAGGATTTATGACGGGCCGTAAAGTACTTCGCAATCCTCTACGCGGAGCGCCGGCAGCGCCGGTCGCGTTTTGATGCTGCCTGGAAAAGCTTCCTTAAGTTCGTGTTGCTGAGCATCGTGGCTGGACACGGCGACCTCGACATTCTCCTGGATCCTGTCTTCCTCCATTTTCCACGCCCTGGCGAGCGCTCGAAATGGTATCCTGGTCTGCACTGCACTCCACGGCCCGCGAACCTATTTCAAGCTCTTCGTGACGCTGACCGCCAAGACCCCTGGCGCAACCAGTATCGCCACGCTATTGAAGATCACCCCGGTTCCCAGCTTCCCCGTCTTGAGGGCAAGTTCATCCCTCAGGAGTAGCTTCAGTGTTCGGTAAGCTGATCAACATAGTCGGCGCCCAGCGTCTCTCAACCATACTTGTTTTGACCTTGTTCGTACCATGTAGTTCCTTCTATGCTTTGAGGCTAACCTCTCTTGCTTTTGCAGTTGCACATGCTCTCATGTCAACGTCTGGCTGACCGCATCGATGAAACTTTACTTCCTTCACGGTTCCTCGCCTTCGACCCCTCTATTGCGCATCGTCTTACACGGCAGTGGCCACATTTTTCGCGCGGTTATCAGCTCTCTGCTTCAGCTCTTCGCCCCCATGTCTGGATTCTGTTTCCAGGTTCTTCGATCGTCGGCTCGATCATCACTTACGGTCGTAGACCTCGATCATCGATCACGATCAACCATCTCGATCCTCCTCGATCATCCAGCCTCGATCCTCGATCTTGATCATCCATGTCGATCATCGATCTTGATCGTCAGTCTCGATCACCGATCTTGGACATCGATCTCGCTCATCAGTTTCGATCATCGTTCTTGATCGTCAGTCTCGATCACCGATCTTGGACATCGATCTCGCTCATCAGTTTCGATCATCGTTCTTGATCATCCAGTCTCGATCACCAGTCTCATTGGACATCGATCTTGATCCACCTATCTGGGTACGTAATGACATCCATCACTTGAGCTTCCCTTCTAACTTTCGATGTTTCCTTCTCTTGTCCTAGAGTCGTTGCCAGGTATCTTTACGCATCATACAAATACCTATCCACCCAGTGCGTGGCCGCCCCACACATTATCTCCGCCCGTCGACGACTTACTCAGCGTTCATCCCTTCTTCGTGTGATTGCATCACGTTGAAGCGGTTGCGGCTGGTACGTCCGCGCTCATACTCGTACAACTGAGCGGCGCAATTGAGGTCGGCTTCATCCACCCATATCTTGACGGTCGTCCTCTGAGGCTATTTCGCCTTCTTCCCGTTGCAGCGCCGGACATGCCAACTTGTCCGCACTCTGGTTCCATTCACGCTTCACGTGGAGGAACTCGTGCTTCGGCCACGACCGTAGTCAGTTTAGCGCCTTCTGTCGGAGTAGTTGCAGGCCTCGTGCTTTGCAGTCCATCTCACTCTGCGTCTGACGAATGACCAAGTTCGAGTCTCCACAGATTACGACGCGCCCCCTGTCCAAGGTCGAGAGCAAATCGAAACCAAGAATCAGTCCACGGTATTCCGCCTCGTTCACTGTCAAATCTGGCATATACTCCGACATGGCTTCCACCACCGTCCACTCCGGGAGTTTCCACACGACTGCACTATACGCACCGCCGCTGCGCTTCACCCGCGCAGATCCGTCGAAACTCACAACCCAGAGGTTCTCGTCTGGTTCGATCGTTGGTGGAGGCATGGTGATCATTTTCCGCGGCTGTTTCTTGGGTGCTATCGCGACCAAGGCTTCGTCGACTTCGGCTCGGGGGGTGATGCTCGCTGCGATTGTTCCAAGGATTTCGTCTTCACCCTTCACACATTTGGTGACTTCCAACGTCCACCCTGACCTACCCAGTCGACCGTCGAACCCGTTCGACTTGAGCAACCAGGCCAATGTCGAGAATCGTGACAAGACCTTGATCGATCTGGTAACCAGCTGCGAGTAACAGACGTCCAAGATTCGCAGAAGCGCCAATACTTCCTTGTCCACCACTCCATAGTTGAGCTCGTTTGCCTTCAACGTGCGACTGGTGAAGGTCACCGGATGGTACACACCTTCGTGTTCCTGCATCAGTGCCGCTGATATGGCCCACTTGTTCGCGTAGAGCACGATAACAGGAATACGTTCCGGGTCGAAGTGCTTCAGGACGGCGTGGCAATAATCTTCGCCTTCAGCATGGTGAAAGCGTTCTTCGCTCTCGCCCACCTATCGCGCTCGCCCCCAGTTAATTGACCATCCTCGGCCTGCGTCTCCTCTGTGTCCATCTTGGCGATTTCATGGAAGTCTGCTTCCCGCAGCTCGTACAAGATCGCGGCATAGACTGCGAAGTCCTCAATGAAGCGGCTGTAATAGTTCAAGCTTCCGAGGAACGACTGCATCGCCTTCAACTTGGGGTGGGGAACGGAAGGTTCGCGATTGCATCGAGCTCCTTCGGTTTCGCTTCAAGCCCAGCGGAGGATACCTCATGTCCTAGATACGCCACTTTGCGCGACCCCAGTAGCTCTTGGCTACGCTGATCGATAGGTTCCACCGATAACAGACGTCGAGCAGTTTGTCGACACGGTTGTACATGCTATCCCACGAGTCGCCCGTCACAAGGATGTCGTTCACATACGACCTTCTCCCGAGGACCGACGGCTTAGGTTCCGGCTCCGGCTCTCCTTCCTCGAAGACATCAACAGGGCTCGATCGATCCTGATCGGGCTTGATGCGCATGTGGCCATACAACGCGTTGTCGACGATGAGCCTGAAACGGATGGTATTACGGGGCGCTTGGGAGAAGCAGCTAAGGCTGGAGTGGTGTGATGAACGCTGACACCAGCCTTGCTCGCGGGGTCATTGACACCCCCCAGAAGCCACTAGCCATATCGAGGGAACAGTACCAGAGTGCCTTGTCCAAGTCTTCGAGGGGGTCGTTGATCAACGGCATAGGGTACACCATCAACCTGGTAAGGCTGTTCACCACCTGGTAATCAATGCAGAGGCGGATGTCAACCCCGTTGGCCTTGATGATGACTACGATGGGTGACGCCCAAGGTGAGGTGGAGGTGGTGATGATCTTTGCCGACAGCAGTCCCTTGATGAGCATGGACAGCTTCTCGCGGAATTGTGGCGCTACCCGTCGACATCGCTGAGCTACCGGCTTTGCCGTTCCGACATCAATGTCGCAAATAGCTCCGAAGGCGGCCGGTGGTAACGCGTTACCAGCTCCGATCAGCAAGTGGTGTCGCTTCCAGATGATGCGACGCAATCACTCGCGTTCTTCCGGTGTCGCGTGCGGATCATCCACTTGTATGTCGTCGATGGTGACTTCCTTCGTGGTAGCCTCCACTTCCGGCAGGACAGTCATGTTATTCTCGATGTCTTCAGGGAAGATGTCTCCGCCTTGATGGTAGCAGACAGCGTCGTCCACGCCATCGTCAGCTTCCTCCTTCGGTTCAATTTGTGTCCCTCCCAATTCCGTTGATGGAGGCTGTTCTCGATCACTCTTGATCTATCCCGTCAGTTCGGTCGTATCGCTCCGACCCTCTTCCTTCGGTTGAAACCCTGCCGATTCTTCGCCCACCATACCTGGTGCAGTGATCGACTCCCTTGCCGACGCCGACATGACGATCATCGCCTTCGGGCGTTCTCGTCTACCCGCTAGGATCTTGGTCGGCGGCTCGTATTGAGGCCTGGCCACCATCGGTTCTGTCGCAGTTTCGACCACTTCGTCCACAGCTTGCTGTTCAGTGGTGGCTTGCAACGCCAAGTTCTGCCACATATCTCCAGGACCCGATCGAGACGAACCCTGGCATCCGCGGTACGTGGTCTCCTG